CTAGACTTTAGCTTAACATATTTTTGGAACGTTTTTGTTTTTAAATCGCAATTTTGCAGGTAACACAACAATTGTAATTTCCATCTTCCGAGGGAAATCTTTGCATTAAAAAGAAGAAATACAGACCTTCTACTTAATGCAGGCATAATTAATAAATAATAAATGGCTTACCGAAATATATGAAATACTTATATGTATATAATACTTATTTAATTCCGTCCGTCCGTGTGTGAAAAGTTGGATCCTATGTGCTGCTCTCTTTCACTGCAATTGAATCCTTGTTATGATTCCTTTCCTGTTCGGTGTATAGGTACTTTGGTTGCATATATTGGTGTAAAAGTGTGCACATATGTATGTATAATAATAGTTTAAACACTATATAAATAATACACTGAAATTTGTTTGAAGAAAGGCTTTCTTGCGAATTTCAAGAGTATAAAATTGTCGGTTCCGACGATATCGGGAATATATTGACCTAGCTCCAACATACTATATGTAAAAAACTCAAACTTCCGTTTGGCTTTATATATACGTAAAATATTATATATACGATTTGTGAAATCGGTCCACGAATATCCCCGCTCACATGTACTATTTATGTTGTATTTTTCATTAATTTGATAATTTAATGAAATAAAAGGACAGTTTTCTTAAAATAAAAAAATAATAAAATTAAGAACAGTACATCCATTTGTCTTTTCAGGTGGCAACCGAGTTGGAATAAAATCTATTAAATGAAAACTTTGTTTAAAACTTGATTCAACGATGATGGTTACAAGGTTTTGAAAGAAGTTAGATCCTCTCCTACGCACTGGGATGTGAGAAAAGGCAATCGCTATGATTTGTCAATTTGCGCTAATCTTCTATATCCCTTTATCGGTGAAGAATCTCAGTGGGTTGAGCTTTTGGTCATCCTCTCAAAAGTGGATTCTAAAGATATTTCGGAAGAGGAAGCCAACAGTTTAACAACCCAAGATAGATATCATTCGGTCAGACGCGGTTAATTGTGCTAGATATTTGAACTACCGATTGATTTTGGAGAGCATTTGTCACAAATTCAGAGAGTGGAGTTTCAACAGAGAGGTTCCGCATGTACAAGGCATGTATTGGCTTTATAATGCTTCCAGGATCATCCTTTAAGATCCTCAGATATTCCCTGATGTCATTAGTTTTATTGACAATTATATTCTACAGATGTTGCGGCCAGCCACTTAGAAAATTATTTGGCTTATCAAAAGCCCAAACCATAGTCGTTCTTGTACTAGGAAAATAAGAGAACAACATGTTGTTTTGATATACCATATCCACCAATGCCTTCAACGCAAATACTGTTACTCTTAGAAACAAGTCAAAATTCAGAAAGGCACAAGGAAAACATTTTCAAAATTCAATACGTTTTAAATTCAAATATGACTAGAGAAAACATTTAATTTTAAAGATTTTGAACATTTCCTGTCTGATGGTAGGATAAATATGTATTTTGATGACTATTTGTTGCCCTTAGATCAAGTTTATCAAAACTTAAACTTTTCTAAAACGAAAATTACATTATCGTTTTATAAACTTTGATTTTGAACCTATAGAGCATTATAAAAAGTCTAACAGCGGAAGTTCTAGGCTCGTAAATGAAGCTCTTAGCAAAATCGTAAACATATAGGTCACAAAATTTCTATCAGGCACAGAAATATCTGCATAAGCGCATTGGGTCATCTTTCGGAAGCAAGTAGCAGAAATATTTACAAATACCTCTCGACCTGAGGAACGTGCAATTACTTTTGGGAAATACACAGCTATCATGACAGTATTTGTGTCTTTACTTCGATTTAAAATTTTCACACTTAGTGCAATAGTTCTTCATTATATTTTAACGAAATTTGACGAGTATTATTCAGATCAGATGACTATAGCATATAGCTGCCATACAAACTGAACGATCGGAATTAAGTACTTGTGACCTTGTATTAGTGAAGGTATCATAGCAATATAATCAAATTAGTATGGTATAGCAATTTTACAGTAGTTTTAAGACAATTTTAAGAAAAATATGTAAATTAAGAAAATTTAAATTATATGTATAATTTGTTATTATATAAACATTATTGTATTAATGAAAGAAATTGAATAGTATAAGGAGAAAAGAAATATTATATAAAATGGATATATGTATAAAAATATCTATAAACTGTATGTTTAATATTGTGAAAATTAATATAATATTATAATTTTTAAAGTTGTTAGTATTTATAATTTTAAGCCAAAAGTATTATACCTGTTTATACTTATATCGATATAATAAATAAAATGTTATTCATTGTCCAAAACGATATATTATATTTTCATATCCTCAATACAGTTTTAATGATTCCATATAAAATTATAAGCGTATAAAAAACACAAGAACGATTTCGAATAATTTGAGTAATTTTAGTACAGATTCTCTAATTAATTTCACTGTCAGTAAATAGCTGAGGCAACAGTCTTACTTAATTATTATAAATATATAAAGAAATCTCAAAGAGTATACCATTTAACTTTGCAAAAGTGTGAATTGTTCGGTTACATCGGAACTTATCTTCCTTACTTGTTTATATTATTATAAAAGGTTTAATTAAATATACTAAATTTGACCGTTAAGCCTAATTAAGAATGGTGGGTGCTGAAGACAAGGTGTGTTCATAAAATAACGGGAATTTTAAAATTAAAGTTTCGCGGGTTTGAAGAGTCCAATTGTCAATTTTTATTACTCATTCTTACTTTGTCTATAGCAGTCGCTAAGGTTAGAGTGTTTTTATGAGTTGGCGATTTTCGTTTGTTAAAAGAAATGGATAAAAGATGTTCGTGGATTCTGTGCCAAAAACAATACTGTAAGATGACCAGGTAATCGGAGACCGAGAATTTAAAACGTTTCGAAGGCGTTTTTTCAGAAAATTAAATTCTCTATGTTTTGAACACACTACGTACATTTAATTTTATAAACCTTATAGCAACTTTAAATTACTTGGTATTTGCCTATACTAAAACAATAATATGTATGATTTTATGTAATTGTAATTAAAATAAAATATCTTATCTTATAAATTTCATTGTTATTTGTTGGTTGTATCTTTTGGTTAAATCTGAATGCATCTTGAAGATTCTGTACGGGAATATGACACTGGCGGTGGCTTTAAAGAGTTGCTTGTTGCGCATGCAATCAACTTTAACGTGCAATGTCATCATTGCGATCCACGTTCTTTACTTATTTGTTTGGACATACCGGTTGTATTTCTGTCATTAAAAATTCTGCTAGAATAATAATTCAGATTGACAACCCAACTACGAGAAAATTGCACATTAAATTGGGCTTCAACAGTGTTGCCACTACAGCTAACCCTGAGAGAATCACTAGAAGCTAAGCTCCTTGCATTGGAAACAGTTAGATATATACGAAAATATATCATAACCTGTATTCGATTACTACCCGCTGAAAGTAAAATGGCTTTTGTAATAGAATACGCCCTTCGGTAATGAATGGAAAGTCTCTGAGCATTGATCTTCCATGAAAATGTCGTAAAACAGAAAATAGAGGTGTTAACTCCATCTACGTGTAGATGAATATATTATAAATAAAAACTGAAACTGCTTCAGTCAAGTTTAGTTTCACTAAACTAAATTTATTCAAATTATAGTCATATCTCATACCCAGAAGGAAACGTAGGAGATCCCATAAAATATATGTATATAATGGGTGTTTTTTCGAGGTATAGAATTTTAAGTTGGCATTACTCTTCAGTTCTGTTTGATTTGGCAATTCAACGCTTGCAAATAGTGCAATTTATTTAAAAATGATTCAGTGCGGAATACGTCGCGCACTACGTTCATTTTATCGCAGTGATCTTCTGGTTAGATGACTACGTCAACAAACAAAACAGCCGCATTTGAAGTGAAGTTAATCCTCAAGTGTATGTCGAAACACCGTTACATCCAGAAAAACTGACTGTTTAGTGCGTTTTATGGGCTGGTGGAATTATTGGTTCGTACTTCTTCAAAAAAGATGATGGCCAGAACCTTTTTATTCCTGATTACTAACTTTTTCATTCCTGATTTGAACAACCATGATGTCCAGGAGCTGTGGTTCCTACAAGACGGCGCAACATGTCACTGCTGGTACCACAAACGATTTATTGAAAGACACGTTTGGTGACCGCCTAATTTCACGTTTTGGACTTGTAAATTGGTCTCCAAGATCTGGTGATTTAACACCGCTAAACTACTTTCTGTGGGGTTATGTAAAGTTATTGGTCTATGCGCATAAACCACAAACACTTAACCATTTGGAAGACAACATTCGCCGTGTTATAGCCGATATACGGCCATGTTGAAAAAAGTCATCGAAAATTGGACGTCCACATTGGACTACATTCGAGCCAGCCGTGGCGGTCATATGCCAGAAATTATATTTAAAATGTAATGCCACAAGATTATATTTCGGATAAATAAAATCCATGTCAATGGATTAATCCATCGTTGTTTTATTGCAATTTAAAGTTCTATACCTCTAAAAACACCCTTTATATGGTAAAGGATCAGCGTGACGAGCTGAGTTTATTTAGTAATGAAGAAGCTACTCATTTGTCGGAACCGCCTATATCGGACCAAATGCTTATACAGTTATATACAGGTGTATGTATAAATACATATCTAGTACTTCCATCCTCCTTCCAATTGTATTACTAAAGTTGCTATAACTCAAAAACTTATATATTGAAGCCTACAAAGGTTATGCCATACAATAACAAATGCTCCTAGTTTTTTCAAAATATGTACATAATTACAAACCTACATATATACATACAAAGGTCACATAAGTAATGATGGGGATAAAATTTAGACATCAGAGAGATAAATATTCTCAGATACAAAGCAAGAATGAGCGTGAAAATACTTATGAACTGCGTGTGTAAGACCAATTATAGTTAAATGGGTGTGTGAAATATATTTTAGTATACTCTTCAGCTCACCTGAAAATATGTTTGACCCTTGTCTACCCATCCGATGGCAATGTCAGAGCCAGCGAGGTTACCGTCGGGCGAAAAACCAAATCCAACGTAACCCAGCGTACGTGCTTGTACTTCGAACGTAATATCTTGATTAATGATTGTCCATAAAATACGAAAATCCTCATTCAAATCGACCGCATGATCCCAGCTCAAAGCGTTGCCTTTACCATTGCCTCCAACATCACTAATACTCAAAACACCCAAACGACTACTACCTTGACTGTCAATAGTGGTTGAACTGTTTTCGCTACCGTTGCCCACTGTGGCTACTTTAGCTGTCATTGCCACCGCTGCTGCTGATGCTGTCGATGTTACCGACGCTGTCGCAGCAGCAGTTGCCGTCGCCTCCACTGTTGACGGACAAATGCAACTCACAGCCATGATGAAACATGATATAAAACATGTGATTAACGATAACAGCGATGAACTTGAATTTTTCACTTCCCCTTTCTGCGCCGCCGCTTTAGAAGTTGAATTGCTTATTGGAGACATTGTCGTTGCCATTCCGTTCTAAATTAATGATATAGCGATGAGTGTGCTTGTCCTGTGAGCTTATGAGCGTATGTGTATTTGTATGTTTGTGCGAACCTCCTCTCGGGTGCGTGTTAATAGTTTTCAAAACGAATGGTAAAAAACAAATGTAAAGAATGTGTGTAAGTGTTATGACCGCTTGGTATTTGGCCGCATATGCCGAATTTGACAGTTCGTTTTTATAAATTACGTTTGGGTTGACCAAACTATTTCGTTTGTAGCTGCCAGTCAGCGTTTTATTGTAGATTGGCTACGCTCTTCACAGCAACTTGGCTAAAATAAGTGTATGCATGCGAACCCAAAACCATCCGGATTCAGTTGAACATATGCCTGTAGCTTGCGGCAAGCAAAGTGCTTCAAAATAAAGTTGACAACAATTTGGCGCACGTCATTTATTGCTTTTAAATCCCGATACGAATGGTTTTAAGACTTGCCAACGCTGAGGTAACACAACGCCAATTGCTGTGTTGTTTCCCCCGAAATCACTTTTACGGCAATAGGCGATAGTTGGGCCGTTTTGCCGTATTAAAAACAATTTTTCCATCCGGTGGCGCCATAAGAGAAAATCTACTGTGATGAGCCTTTTTTATGCGCTGTTGCCTCGTAGCAAATGTTGTTTATGACCTAGTATAACAAACACACATACATACATATATATGTTCGAATATCATTTATGTGAATATATAAGAGCGTATTTGCGGTTTTATGATCTACTTGTAATTTCACTTTATTTGGCCTTTGCTTTCCCTTGTTTATTCAGTTTTGCTTTCTTTCGTGGTTTTTTGTGTGTATTTCATTTTGATGTCTGGTTTTTTTGGTGTATCACAGCTCTGATGTTATAAATAGCGTTAAAGTTTGCTTCAAGAATTACTATTTTAGTCGATTATATTGTAGGTCTACATGACTATAAGAGCGAGCAGGAAGATGGGTAGTCTTCTACAGTATCCTTTCAGTTTTATTATTTCGCTATATTTTTTATGCTTCTTTAGCAGCTAGAAATGACAGGCCGCTTTATTTTAATCGGAATTTTATTGTATTTATTTGACATCGAAAGTAGAGACGTGCAGTTTCAGTACCAAAGTGTCTTGCTCCTATAGGAGAAGTTCACTGAGGTAAAGACGTGCGACAAATATTTCTAATTAAGTTTACTTTTTGCTCTTCCGTTTACGTCGGTTTTGTGCGTTTTAACGTCTTCGTGTTCTCACGTCGGCATTCACGTAATTTTTACGTGTCCTACCGTTTCGGTTGCATCAATCTTTCAAGTTAAGTTGTATTCAAGGTACGTGTACAACTGTAGCAATGTAGGATATCTGAAAGACAGAATAGACAAGAAAATTACACGTAATTAGTTTAATTTACTTTTTAAAATGTGTTTGATGTGTGTTTAGTTGTTAAATCGAGTATAACTGCATAAATGACTGAAAAGACAGAATTCAGCTGTCAAAAAAGTCATGGAACTGAACGTTGTCTGTTCGCGGAAATTGGCGTGCGCTTGCTGGGCGACGCAGGGCGGATTAGTGATACGCGAAAGGAGGGCATGAATAAGCTCATGGTATTGTAATTTTGCTTGGCTGAAATGGAGGAACAAAAATTACCTCTGATCGTTTTTTGTCGATAGTGAGGGGCAAATTCATTGAAAATTCAGTGATGGAAAATAAAGCCCTGAAAAGTTGCATAACCGGTATATTTAGATTGGTCAATTAGGCCATACCTACTGTATGGTCCTTAAAGTATATTTATTACCTTACAGTTTTTAAAATCCTGAAAGAATCGTCGGAAACAATATACAATATACAACCATGTGACCAGAAAGAAATCGGAAATCCGGAAATTCATCAATATTTATTATGTCGCTTTCAAAATATGCACTTTCTGAAGCGATATGCCACCTCTTTTTCCAATCATCGAAACATGCCACGTAGGTGCTGTCCGGGATCACCTTCAGTTCCCTCTGAATCAGCCAAATCCGCATTTTCTAACATTCGCAACGATTTTAGTGTGCGGAATTGGTTCGAAACACAACATTTTAAGCAACTTCTTTGTTCAATATTTTTTTCTATTGTAAAAATCTCAAAACAATACTGAGGTCGCCTGATTTAAACAGCTGATACAAACGAACAGGTAGACATATCGCACTCCTTTTTGGCATAGTATCTAAGGACAGTGCTACCAACTTAAAAAAAAACTGCTGTAAAATATTCAGCGTGGGCAGTTTAAATGAAATTTTTTGGAAAATTTCTGGTCACAATGTACGTATATGCTAACTGATCATCATGGCGAGCTGAATTGATTTAGCCATGTCCGTCTGTATATACGCAAACTAGTTTCTCGTTTTTGAGATATCGATATGTTATTTTGGACACGTTCTTTTTTAGCCAATAAGCTGTTCATTTATCGGAGCAGCCGATATCGCATAGTGGTGCATATAGCTATCATACAAACTGAGCGATCGGAATAAAGTGCTTGTATAAAAAACTTTTTCATTTGACGAGATATCTTCTAGAAATTTGGCATGGTCTATTGTTTAAGGCAGTGGTGCAATCTCCGAACAAATTGTTTAGATCGGACCAATATATCATATAGTTGCCGTACTGATCAAAATCAAGTTTTTGTACGCAAACTTTTTTAATTAAGAATGGTATTCCAGCTTCGGTGCAACCGAAGTTAATGTTTTCTTTTGTTTTCATTTATTAACAATGATTTTTATTGACTTACTTTACTTGCATTCAAAATCTACATTATGACAGCACCGTTTCCTTGTATTGGAGCGCCTAAAAATCCTCGATCAAATAATAAAATGCTTAAATAACTCAAAGCACACCATTTATCGAGTTAAACATTTCATAGCAGAAATGTAATCATAGTTGATAACTTTAAATCGTTAATGTAAAACATATAACATTAAACTCAGAGTTGCAACTCCCTTAAATTTGCAAAATACCCTCATCAGAAGACATTAAACAAGAGCCTGTGCGAATTTTCACATTTATTAATAATCATATGATAAAATTACCTTGAGCAAGAGGAGAGTCTTTGCGCAATAACACACTAGTTGGATAGAAATGCATATCGATTCTGACCATTTCAGGGTGATGCAACTAAATTCAATTAAAATACAATGTTAAAGGTGCATAAAAGAGAAAGCATTAACATACACACATGCCTAATAGAATACGAAATGAGTTTTTCAAACGTATTCTAACGGGGTTTTTTTAGACGTGTGGTTTTCAACGAGGCAATATTTTTTTAAGGTACTTTTCTTGACAGCTATTACTTGATTTACACTCAGTTTCCTTTGCCATTTTATAATGAACAGAGTTACTCCGGGCCCCGTTTGGAAATCGCGCAAATTTATTACCAGTTTTTAATATGATTTTCACAAGAAAACTTTGTTGAAAAGAAGCTCTCTTTTGGTTGAATAGATACGGGAATAAATAAAATTTTCGCATTTGGAGTCTTGGTAATCCAAAAGGAAATCATTGTTGAAACGCCGCTACATCCTCAAAAAGTCACTGTTTGAAATGCTCTTTGGGAAGACGGAATCATAATGTTAAAGTTAATGGGGAGAGCCATGATTAATGACTTTTTCGTGCCGGAATTGGAGGATGCTGATGTTTACGAACTTTGATTCCTACAAGACGGCGCTACACGCTATACAGCCAACGAAACAATCAATTTATTAAAGGAAACTTTTGGGGAATGCATTATCTCTCTATTATTTGTGAGATTATGTAAGTTTGTTTGACAGCTTGGAAGAGAATATGCGTCGAGTTATTACTGACATACGGCCTCAATTGCAGCAAAAAGGGGGCGAAAATTGGGTTCCTCGGCTAGAATTTATTTTAGCCAGCAGCGGACTTCTTAAAAACCACATGTCTAAAAAAAGTTTTTATTATATGAATAGTTCTGATGGGTATATTAAAACACTCAAACCAATCCAAAGTTGCTCCTCGCTTAAAAATAACGTTTAGACACATAGCGTGGTTCATCCACGGATGCACGATCAGTCGTTACATCTGACTGAAACAAGTCTTATACAATTACTTTGTGAATTAACTGTGCTTGGTAATGCTACGAAATGATGAGTATGTAAAGGAAAATAGTTCTCGGATACATATTAACAGCTTACTACTAGCAGTCGTGAGTAAAAGTAATATGAACAAGGATTTCCCTAAAATTGCCTAGGAAAGAGATATACTTGTATGTATACAACAACTACATAGATAACAAGGTCTAAATGCTAATATCTTAATCTGTTTATAGATTCTCCAAAATGATTTGTAATTTTTCGACATATATGTTGGCACAAAACTTTTGCTGGTAAACCTGAGCATTTGCCATTTAGAGTACCATTTGGTCCGGATAATACAATATTCTATTCCTACAGGAAACATTAACAACATTACGTTACATATTAACAGCTAACATATAACAACACTTGGAGCTGCAGCGGGAGATGAGTAAGTTTTTTTAAAATTTGATTTTATTTTAAGATTATATCATTTTCATAATAAAGCGTCTTGCATCATATTGGCGCTCGGACGCTTCTCGATTTGCCTGTACTGAAAGAAAATTGTATCTAAAGTTGTCATTTTACAGTGTACCTGAGGATATGCTAAATACATAAATAAATGCCATTCAACGAGAAATACATAATTACTATTTATGTCTGAACAAAAAGTAAATATCTATCACTTTTGCCAGACACGGTTTATGTCTATATTATAATTATTTCACTCACTATCTGTAAATTGGAAAGTTTGACCAGAGTAGATAATTTTTTAAAGCAAAAAAAAAAAAACATAGTATCAGTTACTACAAATGTTCCAAAGCACTCAAGGAAAGTTAGTATTGCAAAGGGGCGTAATCAGGTCACTACACCGCCACGATATTAATCGAAATCCTATGAGTTGCCATAATTTAGCCACACATTAAGATACAAAGCTGTAATTTGGTACACGGGATCGCAGTAGCGACGGACACTCGTGGATAAAAGTTTTTTAGAAGTGGGGGAGAACTCGCCCTAAACCGTTTAATGTACACATCTTCCAAACCGCTAAAGCTAAAGCAACCAAAATTGCTGAAAAGAAGCCCTATCAGCAATTCTTCATAAACTGTGAAAATGGTAAAATCAGATAATAACCACGCCCACTCCCCATATAACGGTTATGTTGAAAACAGTTAAAGTGCGATAACTCACTGAATAAAAGAGTCACAAGGTAGAGAAGGACTTTATAAGACTAGGTCTAACAATTTAACAAGGGGCGTGGTACCGCCTACCTTTAGGTGAAATTCTATATCTCAGGAACTGCTTGACCGGTTTCGACTAAAATTTGGTGGGTGAGATAACTCACACACATCCTATCACACACTGTGAAAATAAGAGAATACCAGTATAAAACTCAAACATCAAAGAATTTGTAAAAATAGAACTTTCTAGAAATTGTGGACTATAACTTTTCAAGAAACCAGACACCAAATATGTAGAACCCAGTACATACGAGGCTGATTTTTACCGATCACATCGGTAAACCTGTGACGTCTGGTATTGAAATTCGGGGACAATATTTTATATTGACAGCATGGTCGTTCTGCCGAAAATAGGTAAAATATATGTAATATGTAAGAAATCATAATGAAATTCAGAAAGAATTTCTATTTAATAAAAGTGTATCCTCTTGCTTAAAATGAATGAAATCTGGGATTTACTTTCCCGAGTTCCCATATTCCTAATATACGGATTTTCAAAAATCCGCTTAACTTAATACCTTATATGTGAGTCAATCTGTGATCTTTCTTAATGAAATTCAGAGAGCCTCTGGTTCTGATAGTTATACGAGTATGTTGCAATATCGAAACTGGATAAAATTGGGTATGAAAACACCCTTGCCCCAATATACCTTATATAAGAAAATTGATAATTATATAAGAACTTCCTACTTCCGGTTGGTTTTATATCGCATTATCGGTCAATATGTAAGATACCTTTGCAAAATTAAGTTAATGTATAATATAGGATGTATATAGTTTAAAAAAATATATGAATTTTGTTTACGAATTTCCTCGAATCTGCGATTTATAATAAGATGTATATAATTTAATTAAATTTGAGTGTAATTCTTTTACGATTTCGTCGACCAATAAATGTTGAATTCTTTCGCTACAGTTTTTAATATATGGTTTTGCCAACCCCTGAAAGAATTTCCCAGCTTTCGCTTACACCCGAACTTAGACCTTTCATACTTGAATTAGTTTAAAATAATAATTTTGATCTTTATTTTGACGTAATATAAAAAAATAACTCTATTAG